TTAGCTCTTCAAGAGTTAAGGACATTAAGTCCTTAGACTCGATGATTGACGTCTTCTTTGATTGCCACGATTTTGGGAGGGAGTAGACTAACTTCCTCACAAGCTTTTCATTTGAAATGATCTCTCCATATGATTTGAGACCATTAGAATACTAATTTTAGATTTCTTTACCTCATCGTACCTTCATAAGTGACTTGAAGTTTGTCCCATATTTTTTTGGCGATTGTACACGATGAAACTCTTCCGTATTCATCTGGTCCAAGAGCACAAAAAATGATATGGATGGCTTTGGAGTTGAGCTGGAATATTCTTGTCTCTCCCTCACTCCACAACCTTGGATGAGTGAGAGGTTTGATGTATCCTTCTTCTACAGCATTCCATGCTCCCATGTCACTTGCTTGAATGAAGTACATCATTCTATTCTTCCAATAGGCATAGTTAGCACCATTGAAGAAAGGAGGCTTGTTGACGGACATCGAATCGAGACCGGAGTCGAAGTTTGAAGCGGAGGCCATTGATGACTTTGATAATCGATATAACTCTTCCCGAATCGACTCAAGAGGCGATTAAACCTTCAAATGAGTTAGGCTCTGATGCCAATTGTTGAGTTAATCGATCGACGGAATAGCCAAGAGGGGGTGAATTGGCAATTAAAATTCGTGGAAGCTTTTGCAGAAAATTGAAAAGATTTGCACATCGATTTAGAGTGGTTCGACTTTCTCAATCAAAGTCTACGTCACTACCTTAGCTATCCACACTAAGGATTTCCAACAAATTCACTAATTTGTTCTTTCTTTTGAGGCAAAAGAGATAACCTTACAATACCCTCAAGAATATACCCCAATTCTTGAGAACACTCTTTTCCCAAAGAGAAGATTACAATTTGCAAACTTACAAGGAAAACCTCACAAGGTAAGATGTTTGCACAATTCTAGAACAAGAAAAGAACACTCAAGATAATTACAAATGAGCACAAAGGTGTCTTGAAAGCAAATGAATATTGAAAGGAAAATTGGCTTGATTTGCACAAACTTGGTGTTTGATGCTTTCTCTCTTGTTTCTCTATAATTTCTTGTTGATCAAGGGCTTCAGAACTTGTTTAAAATACACCTTGAATCACTTCTGAACGTTGGGGATAATTAATGAAGATAATATAGCCGTTTTAGTGTGAAACAATTAATAAAACAGCTTGGAGCGTGGGGAAATCGGTTCCCCCTCATAGGGAATCGGTTCCCTAAGTGTAAAATTCAAATATTTCGACCGTTGAACAGGGGGAATCGGTACCCCCTATGGGAAAATCGGTTCCCTCCGAGCATTCTGGAAATCTCGGAGCCAAACCATTCAGGGGGGAATCGGTACCCCCTTGGGGGGGAATCGGTTCCCTCTGAGCAATCTGGAATTTTTGGCTTTGAAATGGTTCGAAATACTTTGAAAGATTATTTTAAAATTTTTTTTAAGATTAAAACTTAATTTTACACTTAAGTAAGGATTAAAAAATGATTTTTGAAATATTTTGAGTAATGTTTTGATATTCGAATAATTATATCGAATATACTTAGAAAATCATTTTGGAAAATCTTAAAATTCATTTAACTTAATTTGTTATATCGAAATATCAAAATGTTTTCAACATATTTCATCTAGAATGATTGAGTTGCTAATATAAAAAAATGAATGATTAAAACGGCAACATAAATTGAATAATCAAAATATAAAGTAAAATAAATAATTTATAAGAATGTTTTTACGAAGACATTAACACCCTACAAATTGAGTTACTGTTTAGATAATTTACCTAAAATATATTTATTTAATTGATTGAATAAAAATTGAATACCAACTTGAAAGGTGGTTTAAGCCATTGTTATTATATATATAGACTAGAAACAAGCAGGTAGCTGAAACCTGAAACCATGGATCTCATATGCATTTGTTATTTTTGGCTGGGCTTTGGGAGAGCTTCCCGTGAAATATAGGGTTACCGGGCTTGGGGCTAAAGGCCCATTTATTTTTCAGATTTTCGGATAAACTGAAATTGAGATTTATCCAATTCAAAAAAAAAAAAAATCGGATCGAATGATCAGATAAATGGACTAGATCATTTGAATCAGATATTTTTACACACCCCAACCCCTCGACCTTATCCAATAGACATGGATCGTGCATGATTCTTTTCATTCTTTGCAGCAGTAATAAATATACTTTTACTTGAGCAAATGGTAAAAAACCAAGTTAATAATCTGAAATGATAATGCTCGATAAGTTTCATTTTAGTGCTCCAATTGTTTAAAGCCGAAAGTGAAGTATTGATAAATCGGGCAAAGTAAACGAAAGAACACAAGAATTTTAACGAGGTTCGGCAATGTACTTACGTCCTCGGTGCCTAGGCGGCGCTAGAAAATTTTTATTCAATTCCCATAGGTTTAGGTTACATCTCTATTTATAATAGAAAACCCTGGTACATAATTATAAAATTAACTCTGTACCGTACCACGGGGGAGCTGCCCCCGCACCCCCAACCCACATAATCGTAACCCCCTCTACGAGACTTTCTTTGTAAGGACAGTTGATGTTCGCTTTACACACTCCACTCCATCCCCTATCCTCTTTACCGATATATTTATGAGCCATACCTTACATAAAGCCACCATCTAACATCGATTTACACACATAACTCCTTTATCCTCCACCATTGAGTGAAAATCAATTTTCAGGAGGGAGTGAACTTAAATACGATGTACAAAGTTTGAGATTGCAACAACAATATTCTAGGAACTGGATTCAAGTCATTGTATTGTACTGAGGGATGGACGGAAGGCACGGTTGGGGATAGTCGTCGTACTGAAATTTTAAAATTATTATATTTTTTAGATTTTTTATGTAATTTTTTATTAAAAATTTACTTTCACCACTTTAAATTTTATAAGTTCATCATTTTTTAAATTTTAAAAATTTATCACCTTAACATAAAATCATGCATCTGTATCTGATTATACCAAACTTATTTTTTATTATCCTTTTATGTTTTTTAGATCGCATCTTTATTTTTCTCTTGTTTTTAATTTTCAATAATTTAACTTTTATGACACGTTTTCAATTGTTTGATCATTTTTCATTTATATTTTTTAAGGGTTGATTCGATATCGTAATGACTGAATACGATGACACTTATATGTTATCAGGCTTATTTTTCCTACTTTCGACTCTCAGATTGGGTTTAGATACTTGATATGCGTTCGTGGATAGTTTTTCACGTCGCTCGATAACGGTGAGTATTAGATCGAGTCGAGTAAAAAGATTTCGAGTTATTCGAGTTGACGAGTCCTATTTTATAACTCGAATTTGATTTAAAAAAATTTCGAGTCGAGTCAATTTTTTGAGTTTCTATTTAAATTTAATTATAAATATTTATAATATTATGAAATTATTTAATTCTAATTTAAATTGTATTTTATAATCATATACAATACATATATACATTTTTTGTATTTTTCCATATGTGATTTACATATACCATATAAATTCGAGGGACTCGACTCAAACTTTAAACTTGAAAATCAATGTACTAATTACTAAAAAATTTGAGTTGTATTTTACAACTCAATTTGAATTTTTTTGAGTCGAATCGAGTTTATAAAACTACAACTCGAACTCAATTCGAGTCGAGTTTTGCTCACCCCTATCACTCGACTCTGATTTAGTCTTTCAGTGGTCTCTCAACAACTTAACCTTACTTTGTAGTTCATTTTCCGATGCAATCAGATATGTTTGTATCTATCATTGTTCAAGTTTTGATTAGATTTTTTAATCTTTCTTTGTATGGTATTTATGTGACCTTAAGGTGCTAATTTTGTGTTAATAATTTTAGAAAATATCATAATTATGTGATTAATTTAAAATTATGATTATAAATCTCTATTTTAATTCAAGATATTTCATTTTTTTAAAAATAAAATTAGTGGCTCATGATACTTGTCTCTTTCCTATACCACGGAATAAATTTCAAAAGCACCATGTCTATTAAATTATTTATATTTTCAAAACATCTAAATCAAAAGAATTTATGTTTAAATACGTCTAAATATGACAATTATATCAATCCAATTAAAACTCAATCAACAATTCATGTATTTAATAAAACATAAAAAAATCTTCGTACATACACTGGTGATTTGATACATATATAATGCAAAACTTAAAAGTTTTACATGGTTTTATCTTGTCTTTAAATTACCTGAGTTTAATAACTGAAATTGGAACTTTTACATTTCAGTACAATCCACCTTTCCCTCCCCCCTAAAAATCTCTTAATTTTCTACATTAATCTCAACCATTCATTTATCCTATGATCTAAAAAATTGCATATATATATATGAAAGGTTAAAATCCTCTTACACTTGGTGTAAAACTTTTAGTTTTATACTTTTTCATGACCGTTGGATAAGGGAAATCAAAAACTAAGATTAACTCATTTTTTCCAGTTCCACATTTCCTACCGTTGATCCCAGCATTTGATTTTTCACACCCAGCAGTCATAAAAAGCTGGAAAACTAAAAGTTTTACACCAGGTGGTGAAATGCATTCCACGAGTACCTATTTGATACTATACTATTATCAATACGATATGTCATTGAGGCTTCCAGCTCCCTAAACTTCATTCTTAAAATAAAATCTAGATCCATTTTAACACATTAATTCTTCTATCCCTCAACGCCTTCCCTTAAAAGTTCCTTTTAGATTTAGCAAATATGATTCAAAGGGTACCCTACAGAGCTGCATGGATTTGAAATTCCTATATATCTAATCTAAAGCAAAAAGGATGAGGAATCCTTAAATTCTACTTCCTTAGGACAGAGTATTCAAGGGCATTCTCTAGAAATTTAATCATCCCAAGCATGATCAATCAGACAGGATGACAAAGGATTGATTAAACATTGATGTCAAGTAATAATCTTTCTCGAAAATTGAAACTCAATGGAAACTCGAGTGCAATTTTAGTCTGCAATACTCTCCCACTTCTGTAAAGCATTCTATTCTGAAATAAAGTTTGCACACAATAGTTCACGTTGGATATATATACTATGCAGTCATCTGAAACCGAAAAAGTTCACAAAACAATAAAAGCTCTTCCTAAATGCAGCAACAAACCGACTTACCACACCATGAGTTGTAGTCAGCAAACCACACAATCGCTATCCACCGTTTGATTTTGTACTTGTGATACATTTATTCTACAAAACAGCTGGGTAAAACCAACTCAACTCTTCTTCTTTCTAGCTTCTGCTTTCCAGTCTCTTCGGCCAAGCTTAGGATTCCTAGTTTCACTGTTGTGCAAGCTACCAGAATTCTCTAAATTGCACTCTCTTCCTGCAGATCCTTCATCCCTAACCCCAGGGGACAAGCATGATATTTGGCTTTCAACAGTAGTTTTAAGAGTAGACTGGATAGAAGCATTTAGAGTGTCTTGACCCTTGAATATATGAGCTCTTCTAGCATCCTTTTTCCAATCCCGTTTACAATAATAAACACAAGCCGTCCCATTGTTAAGGGTCCCATTTAGTTGCAACTCCATTTTTGGTATGGTTGGTTGACTTATGACATTAGATTTCTGCTTGTCTGCTTCAAGTCGCTTTCTGGCCCTATATCTACGCTGTCGTTCTCTGTTCTTTAGACGGCGAGTCATAATGCCATTATAGCTTTCGGGGTTGGTGTTAGTTAATAAAGTACCTTGTGTTCCACTAGCATTCATATTCGGTCCGTCTTCTATTTCGAGCAAATGTTATGTCAGCATCAATAAAACTAGTTGACAAAGGAACTTATACGATCTGGATACAATTTAGCTATGACGGAAAGCATTTCTCACTTCTTACCATCGAGGATTTTCAGCAACATCAAGTCAGGTGCCAATTACCATTATGTCAATCGAGCGATCATACTGGATTCTGTGTACAAAATAAAGCACACCATTTAAGGGATTAAGATAAAATTCTAAATAGAAATGTCATTGTATTGGATATGATATATGCTACAATTTAACACAACACTAATATTTCCTTAAATTTGGAAACCAAGTACAATTTCTTATCCAAATATGATTCTCAGTTTCTAACAAATTTAGAACCTGATTTGTCTCTTTCTTTTTTCTACATTAAAAAAAATGTTTTCAGGATGCTGTATCCATTAACACGATTCGTAAAGATTTTCACAATCACCTACGGGCACAAAACCTGAACTATCTTTCCTCTAAATAAGGAATATGAAAACTTCCCTTAGCAGTAATAAAACTGATCATGTAGCTAATTTAGTCGTTAAATCAAATAAATTACAACCATGCTCCTAGTTCCATAGCTTATTTTGTATGTTTTATGTATCATTGCATCACATGTGATGAACGAAATGCAAAATCTAATGAAATATTTATTCTTGGTATGAACAACTATGGTCAATCAACAACCCAGCTCAATTTACTGAAAACTATGAATAATAAACAACTCAACTCGATTTATAACACGATCAAGCAACATGCAAGCTCATCAAAGAATTTAAACCCTCAACATCTATCTCCTAGAATACATGAACTATACACCCATTAATTAGATTCTTTTTTCAGACCCATAAGCCTCTTACAATTTACCAAGCTCGAGTTTTTTAATTTTTTTCTTTTATGGATAATATATTGTTTCAACTACACATTTACACTTATCATGGATAATGTGTCATAAATCATGAAAACATTAATAAAGAGTAACATGAACACTTTGTCAAAAACCATTAGTCTAAGGATCAATATTGTTTGAACAAGAAACAATTGAAGTAAAATCCGAATAAACCTATCTATGGGCATTAAAGAAAGCAATAACCCCACTAATCAAAACAAGCATAGAAAGGGAAAACCTTTAAAAATTTTCACAATAACGAACACCTTCAATGTTGTTCAAGGGTGACCCACAATCCTAAAAAGTACTAATTTCTGAGTTTCAAAACCAAAACCCTTAAAGGAAACATCTCAAAACAATAAAGGGGGGATGCATTATTGTTAAATCATGGCCCAAAAAAACTAAGATAAAAAGAGAGAGAGAGAGATCATACCCATTGGAACGCAGATATTAATTGTGAAATTGATTTGAGACACAGAGGAGAACTAAGGAAGCGGAGGTTGTCGGATTAGGGAAGAAAACGAAGAAGAGTATGAAGGGGAAAAGGAGAGGCTTTTTAATTTGGGAGCTAATTTAGGCTGTTTATTTTTACGACAAATTAAAAGTTAAAATTTTACGAGAACCCAAATGGTTTCTCCACAAGTGTTTTCTCAATGCCACCTTACTATTTCAAAAAAAAAAAATAAAAAAAAATATATATATATATATATATTTGAATGATTCTAAAATAATATATAGTATTAATAATGAACGCACATATATATTATATATATCATACTTGAGCCCATGACCTATAGTAAGAATAATACTTCATTCAATTACTGAGATCACTTGATGTGTTTAATTATTTTTTTTAATTTATCAATGATTTCACTGCAAACATAACTACTTAAATTCAAAATTTTTAATAAAAGTTTCAATTTTTTTTGTTACAAATAAAAGACTGTATTAGCGGTACAAACTGTGATAATTGATCATGCCATCCCGAAGCATATTGCATCGAATCTCCCAGGAGGGGCGCCAAGGATCATCAAGACCAAGCCACTATTATGATCACCATGGCAATGGCATCAGTCGTGTTGTTTGCATCCCTGCTAATATAGTTGATTCGTACTTTCCATTGATACGCCAAAAGCTTGCGGATTCTAGTGAAAACTGAGTGTTCAAGCGAGTGTGGGAGAGCTTGGAGGGTTTCAACATCAATCCTGTTATCCATTTCCACATCCAAATTCCTAATGTCGTGTTCCCAAGGCAAGGTAAGCCCATCGAACAGAGCCCACAGTTCAGCTTGGAAAACTGAACACCGCCCTATATTCCGGTCCCTCACTATTCCGGAGTATATCCCCGCCCGAAGCATCGCCGGTTCTGGGGTTCACATCCCCGTCTGTGTTTAATTTAATGGTTCCAGCTCGAGGTGGAGTCCAGCCTTGTCACCGTCTTGGATCGCCACCATAAGCTTGCCTCACTCGCTGGTTTGTTTTGATGGTACAAGCCCAGCATTGAGCAGATTGAACTATCTCTTCAACCGACCAAACCTGCCCATGAAAAACAAAGTTATTCCTTTGTTTCCACAAATGACATAAAATAATCCCAAAAACATGTCTCCATTGATAGTCCTCAAGGTTCATTCCTGCATTATTATGAATATTATCACGAATCCAATCAATTAAAGGCATGGAATCCTGGCTAATCCGAAGCTGATTAATATTCCAATGTCCATTATCCAGGACATAGTCCCGCACCACCTCACAAAAGTTAGGGTCATGTCCCGCAGTGTTAATATCAGCAAGGGTTTGAACGCCTGGGATCCAGGCATCATTCCAGAAGTTTACAGTTTTATCGTTGCCAATGGACCAACACACATTCTCCTTGATAAGCTTCCAAACTCGGGAAAAAGACCTCCAAGTGAAGGAGCAATTACGGGACTCAATGTGAGAACTACAAGGCTTAGTCAGTTTATACTTGGACCGAACAATTTTCACCCATAACGCCTGCAGCCGCAGGAGTAAGTTGTATCCCAGCTTCACCAAGAACGATTCATTCTGAGCATTTAGAGGTCTAATGCCCAGCCTACCATTGGAATGAGGTTGGCACACATTATGCCAATTAACATAAGAAGTCTTGGGTTTCTCCCTCGTACCACCCCATATGAAACGACGAGCGATCTATTCAATTTGCTCACAAATACCCTTCGGGATCCTTACCGTCTGCATGAAATAGTTGGGCATAGCCATAAGAATAGCCTTATCTAACGTCACACGTCCTGCCAAGGATAAATTGCTAGCCACCCAGCTATTCAACTTGTTACGAACTTTATCAAGAATAAAGTTGAACGCACTTTTAGTCACCCAGTTATGAAAGAGGGGCATTCCCAGATAGGTACCGAGATTCTTGGATCGCTAAAAATTCAAGGACTTACAAATCCAGTCCGTAAAATCGTCATCCACATTAGCCGAAAAGAAGACTTTAGTTTTATTGGAGTTCACCTTATGTCTGGAGAACCTGCTAAACTGGTCAAGGATGGGCCGTACAAGATTAGTTTGATTGTCGCTAGCTTTGCAAAGGATAATAAGGTCATCTGTGAAAAACAAGTGGAAGAGTTGAGGACCTTTCCGTGATAAAACCATAGACTCCCGAAGTCCAATATTAAGAGCATAATGGATACTCTGCCCAAGACGTTCCATACAGAGAACGAATAATAAGGAGAAAGAGGGCATCCCTAATGGATCCCTAACGGATTACTCTCGAAGGTCTGAACTCAGACGTAAGAGATCCTGATATGATTATGGTTATGTGTTCTGAGTCATATACGATGTTGCCCGATCGTGATTCTAGTAAGAGTTTCACAGTGCTTTGATTGAAGACTGAAAATGCATAAACAACGTTATAAGAAGGAAAATATGTATATATAAATGTGTATGAAAGTAATGGAAATGATAGAATGAAGTTGAAGTGGATTGTAAATGAAAGAAGTGTGGTGGTGATAGTGGTTGAATGGATGGAACGAAAAGATGGATTGTGACCCTCTAACTATATATGAGTTAGGAGCCAACAATATAATAAAGATGAAATCGAAGTGATAGAGGGTGGAATGTGACCCACTAGCTATAGTAGAGCTAGAAACCAACGCTATAACAAGATGAAATGGATGAAGGCTTCAAGACCGACAAGAAACCGATAGAGTTCTAATCCAAGAACTAAAATGAAAGCAATCTTTCAAAGTATTTTCATAAATCAAATTGTGTGTCTAAATGATCCCAAATGTGCCTATTTATAGTGTTTCTAAGAAACATATGGAAAGACTCAAAAGATGAAAACATTCTCATCAATTTAACAATAAAATGCACTTCAATGCTTTGTCTTTTTATCTTCAAAGTTGGATGAATATTCTAGATCATTTTGGGGATGAATCTAGACAATTTGAAGCTGAATTTGGCCTTAATTTCGTCCAAGGGGTGGAAGACTCTTGGGCTGCCTTGCTTTGCTTGCAAATGGAAGGAAAGAGGTTAAATGAAGTCATAGGATGAATGTGGACATCCTACATGTCCAAATCAGCTTGTCTCTTCAAATTCCTTGCTTGTTTTATCATTTAATTTGGTGGTTAAATGAAATAATATCAGCCTTCATTGCTTGTTCCCTTAAAGAATAGGATCAGCCTTAAAAAGTTGATAAAAGTAAGACGTGAATAGGTGAATTATGAAGGATTGAATGCATTGTCTCTCCAAGAATATGAAAAGCCTTGAAAAGATGAAAAGAATTAATCCTTGAATTGCTTTGAATAGAAGAATTAAGATAGCCTTCAATTTCTTGTATCTTGGTAGAATATGAAAGGACTCTTCCTTGGGTCAAACTCATCCAAATAATTCATGCATGAAATTCCCGTAATGAAAATTTCAGCCTGCACTTTCTCTGGTAATTCGATCATATCTCAAGCTCTCGATATCGGATTGCGGTGATTCAGAAGGCGTTGGAAAGATAAGAGATAGAGGAATAATTTCCAATTGGTTTCTGAATCCAAAAATGTCTGTATCACATCCAGAATTAGAATACATTCTGAATGATATTCTTGCATCGGTTAAGATTGTTCAGCTTCCCTCTTGCACCTAAACACAAAGATAAACTTTATTCCATCATAACATGTATATATGCATGGGATAATTAAGAGTTAGTTTGATGAATGAAATAACATTATTCAATGAACTAACTTTATTCAATGAACTAAATGCATGAATGAAGTAGTTTATTAAATAACTAGATGCATAAATGAAATATTTCCCTAAATGAAATACATGCTTAAATACAATGCATGCTTTAATGAACAATATACTTATTAAATGCAATGAATGTAATGCAGCTAATAAAACTCATGCAATGGATGATATCATATGATAAGCATATCCTAAGAGGTAAATACAAACATATGATGAAATATAGTGCATAAATGAGCAGGTATAAGATGAAGTAAGGTAGAACTCCCTTTGAATCAGTCTTGGTGAACTTCAATGATTTAATTAGATAAAGACCAAAGTTAGGGCTGATTGGGATCACATCATTTTCAGTCTTCAATCAAAGCACTGTGAAGTTCTTACTAGAATCACGATCAGGCAACATCGTATATGACTCGGAACACATAACCGAGATCATATCATTTGGTATCAGAGCTAGCCAATTCAGTAAGATTATAGTTTTCTCTCTCCTGGGTTAGTAAAAAAATGAAAATAAACCTCACCAACAAAAAAAATCTAACCAATACGCTCCAAAGAAAAATACTCCTACTCGTGTTTCACTCGGGATGGCTTTTACCCTTAATGTACACTCGTGCCTTTTACCGGAACACATAACCGAGATCATATCATTTGGGCTGATTGGGATCATATCAGATCCATTCCATAAGATTTGAAAGGAAGAAGAGGTGAACGAATTCATAATGATACGATGGATATTATCAGGACATCCCTTGTCTTTAATCGAGTTTGAGAGAAGGGCCAAACTAACTCGATCGTAGGGCTTTTCAAGATCAACCTTAAGAATCCATTTGATTCTACCTTTATTCTTCCTCATAGAATGAACGACCTATAGGGAAACCAACATGTTATTAGTGATACTTCGACCAGCAATAAAGGTTGGCTAATTGAGACCAATAAGCTTGGGAAAAATGGAGCGGAACCTGCTCGCTATGACTTTCATCACTAGTTTATAAAGGACCGTGCGGAGGCATATAGGTCGGAAGTCAACAAATGTTTTCAGATTCATAATTTTTGGAATGGGGACCAGAATGGTTTTATTTAAGTGAGTGTTCATCTCTTTACCTGTAAAAATATCCTTAACCCAATCATAGATAGACTCGCCAACCATGCCTCATTAGCTTTGAAAGTAATGGGCATGGATCCCATCCACACCGGAGACTTGAGAAGGCTCATATCAAACATAGGTTTTTTAATCTCCCCATCAGTAAAATTAGCATTAAGCATCTGAAAGTTCTGGGGTGAAAGGTGGGTAAAAGCACCACGAATGGAGAACTGGCCCAAAATATGCCCCTCATCCATATAAATCTTTTCAAAAATCCATATAAAGCTTCTCAAAAAA